CGGTTAGTACTCACATCGTGCACTTTGAACTCAGGGATTCCTGGAAGAAACACTGGTAAACCTGCGTTAAACTACAAGCCTAGACTAGGTGACACCCCCCCCCTCCCCCCCAGGATTTAAGATTACAAAAATGCACCCCAAGTTGGTCCAACTTTGACAGAGACAACAATCATCCGCTGCTCACAGCGACTGGGCTAAACGAAAAATCAATTGATCGAATTGATACGATTGTTGGTTGCCCGTCGGGTGAAGTGGAAGGAAATAGGTCAGCCGGCATGTATTATTCATCAAAGTTCTCCGGAGAGGCAGAGAAAACAACCCGAGTTAACGCAGTCGTTCCCGCCGCGTCCGCTACAGCAGTCGCTCATGCCGCGTCCGCTACAGCAGTCGCTCATGCCGCGTCCGCTACAGCAGTCGCTCATGCCGCGTCCGCTAAAGCAGTCGCACCTGCCGCTACAGCAGTCCTTCCTACTGCGTCCGCTAAAGCAGTCGTTCTTACAGCGTCCGTTAGTTTAAAAAAAAAAAAGAAATCACCCTTTTTCTCTATACCTCTAAAACCGTAAGGAAAAACATTCATTACTTGTCCGTAAAAAACATTCATTACTTGTCCGTAAAAAGAGGAAAGGTTTTTCTCTCCCAACTGATAGATTTGAATCAATACGTAATGATAGATGACCAGAATGGTGCCTATTACATGTGGAGCCACTGTATCAAAAGGCTTGTGCTGAGAGTGTCCACAGAACTAAGTGCATTATTTTGTAATGGCGTGTGAGCTATTGACGCCGAGAGCAGTGCAAACATCACAAAGTTGTAGGACCGTGTGTAACTTACCTAACATAAAGCGGGACTGTTTATAACTTAAATGGCATAAAGTGGGACTGTGTACCTAACACAACACAAAGTGGGACTGTGTGTAACTTACACAACACAAAGTGGGACCGTGTGTAGCTTACACAACACAAAGTGGGACTGTGTGTACCTTACACAACACAAAGTGGGATTGTGTGTAACATACAGTCCGTTATGTAACACTGTTACATAGCTAAATGTCGGCATGGTCGGGTGAGAGCTCATGGTTGCTTACTCTTAAAGTTCCGAGTTTGAATCCCCGGGCAGATGAAGTTTGTTTGCTGGTAACCATCAGAGCTGCTCCGTGCATTTGGACTAAATGTTTAAATTCGATAACAGTAAAAATGTAAATCTAATTATGCATATTTACCAATTATTATAATTACTACCACCAAAACCACATGAGAGACGAAAGTTGTTAATGTTGTGAATTACAATAGATTTTTGTGGGATACAGTGTTAACACATATTAATGCATAAAAAAGTGCATAAATCTTACTGTCCAAAAAAAACTTCACACTTCGATCATGTAAAAAAGACGAAAAAGGAAACATATAGAGATATAAGCCATAGAATAAACCCACTCGGAATTTTATGTTCCCCCCAAAAGGGCAATGCGCAATATTGACAGTTTATGTTTGCATCACTTCCTTCTGGTCCCAGTCAATACCCCCATACACCAGCATCGTGTGCACGGCGGATGCTTTTATCTCTTGCACCGGCGCTTCTTGTTTGAACTTTCAGCGGCTACATTTCATCTTTGCCCTTTTACTCTGTGCCAGAACAATTTATCGGTAGGGCCACCGAGAGGTGGATTTCTATAAAATCATTGATGGAGAGAGGGAATTTTCGACGGGGTTGTTGTTATTTTTTAGTGTTTGTCACATTAGTCTACAGCAGGGGTCTCCAAACTTTTCAGTCGGAGGGCCGCATTACCTATCAATTTTCAGTTCGGGAGCCAGTTAGTTCCAAACATGTCTTTGATTTTTTCTGGGCAAAGTTCCTCAGCCATCACCAACAAACGTTTTTTATTCCGTGGACAAAAAGATCTCAGCGGGCCGTGGTTTGGAGACCCCTGGTCTACACAGCTGAAATAAGTACCCAGCATCGATTCGAAAAAAAAAATAGGTGACGTTCTACTGATTAAAACCCGGATTCGAACTCTAGAATTTTAGGTGCCAAACGCTCTACCGCTTAGGCTACGCCGTCCTTAAAACTGGTTAGTGGTCCAAAAATATCGTTTGTTTTAAAGAACAACATGCGTAAATTCTAACTACTTTCTTTACTTTTTTTGCTGACAATTATACCGGATGTCTAGTGATTACGTAAAGAAGAGCAGGTCAGTAAACAGTAGAGACAAACTGATGACACTCCGTCAAAGATCGATGGAACCCATTGTTGAAAGTCCCCAAGGACAAACCTGTATTCATTATCAAGAATTTCATGGCAGGCATTAACTGTCAGCACAGACGGCATGCACAGGGAACAAATAATTACAATAGTCCATCAATTAAGTGCTGGCGCGGGGTGCGACACGGCTTTTGTGTGTAGATGTGCAACTGTTGAGCTGGCTGTTGGCGAGTGGGGTGGTGGAGGGGGGGGGGGGGTGTCGGGGCAACTGTTGAGCTGGCTGTAGGCAGTGGGGTGTCAACGGTTAGACGAATGTCCCAGTTAGTCATCAGCATATTTATAGCCACAGCAATTGTAAATCACTGGAGACAATAAAACTGGTGATAGATGATAGAGCAGATAACAGCTTTCAGGGTTTCTTTCAGACATTTATCGCCGGGGGGGGGGAGTCTGTTGAAACGTCCGGGGAGACGCACTTTAACCTTATAGAGGCTGAGGGGGGATTTTTTTTTCCTATATAAATTAAAATTTTCTATTACATCCGGCGGGCAGTCCCTTCCCCAGAGATACCTGATATCTATCGGAGAATGAGCCAGTTAGATGTCAGAACAAGATACCCACAAAAAGTCGTAAATAATAATAAAAGCGGTGAGGTATAGGGAAATGTGAACGTTAGGCTAGAAATTGTATAAAGTCCCGAAAAGTGTTGGATAGAAATGGAAAGATTAGAAATGAACAGAGAAGTATGGACGGGTGTTATAAATGGCCTATGCTTCGCTGGGAGTTGAAAAGGGTGAAGTAGAGACGGCTAGACATCACATAAATAACTTCCTACTGTTATAAATTATTACTATCATTATGACAACCGTTCTGTATTAGCACACAATAATAGTTGCTAGATAACCGGGTATGATTTGTAACAGACATCAGCACATGAATTATAACAAACTTTCGCGCAAAATTAAAACAGTTGACACCTTCATAAAAAACGATAACAGCTACGTAATACAACGTTCATTGTAACAGCAACATATCTACCTATAAAATATAAGATACACTTTTTATTTATTATAGCAGTTGTTATACATATGCACATGGAAGTCGAAACTCAATTTAGTAGGAGGAAAGGCATAAAACATCAGAGACTAAACGTTTTCTCTCATCCATTTAACATATAATTTAAAAGCAAACCCTGTTTGTTCACATTATGAAACTTACTAAACGCCTTCTAAATTAGTATTGTATAACAACTATTGTACATATTGTATTTATAACAAAGAGCACCTTCAAGGGACAACCGAAAAATGATCGCAAACAATAAACACTAAACAACGAACTGTACTACCAACTTGGTAAATTATCCTAATTGTATATAGGTTCTTGTGAGGATACTCAGTCAAAAGGGTAAACACGGTGGCGACTTTACTGTGACATTTTACTGTGTGATCACACGACCCCCCCCCCCCTACACACACACAGCATCAGCACTGAGCACTCAATAATGACTTTATGACACACTCGGTCAGCCCCCCCCCCTTGCCCACTACTGCTATGACACACCAATAACCCTCCCCCCCCCATTCATACCACACTCACACACACCACGGCAAGGAGTACTTAATAATCACTGACACAAAATAACCCTCCCCCTCAATGCACAGACACACACCACACACATTATGACACACTGATAAGCCTCTTCTCTCTCTCACATACATACACATGCCACACACATACACAAATAGCACTGAGTGCTTAATAATACTAATACCTTTAAAAAAAACTCTCCCCACCCCCAACACACAAACACACCACACTACATTGACAGTGAGTACTCGATTCCTATACGACACATTTATAAGCTTCTTATTACACACACCACACACACACACGAACAGCACTGAGTACTTAATACTCACACTATGACACACCAACAAACCTCCCCCCATACACTATAGCATCATTAGGTACTCAATCACACACACACACCACACACACTCACAGCACTGAGTACTTAATACTCACATTATGACACACCAACAAATCCCCCCCCCCCCACCACACACACACTATAGCATCATTAGGTACTCAATAATCACACACACAAACCAACACACACACACACTCACAGCACTGATTACTTAATACTCACACTATGACACATCAACAAATCTCCACCCCCCACCCCCCCTATAGCATCACTAAATACTCAATAATCACACACACAAACCACTCACACACTCTATATAACATCACTAAGTACTCAATAATCACACACACACACACACAAACCACTCACACACTCTATATAACATCACTAAGCACTCATTACACACACACACACAAACCACTCACACACTCTATATAACATCACTAAGTACTCAATAATCACACACACACACAAACCACTCACACACTCTATATAACATCACTAAGCACTCAATAATTACACACACACACACACACACACAAACCACTCACACACTCTATATAACATCACTAAGCACTCATTACACACACACACACAAACCACTCACACACTCTATATAACATCACTAAGTACTCAATAATCACACACACACACAAACCACTCACACACTCTATATAACATCACTAAGCACTCAATAATTACACACACACACACACACAAACCACTCACACACTCTATATAACATTACTAAGTACTCAATAATCACACACACACACAAACCACTCACACACTCTATATAACATCACTAAGTACTCAATAATCACACACACACAAACCACTCACACTCTATATAACATCCCTAAGTACTCACGAATCTTGAACGCAGTGACGAGGCTCCCTGCTGGCGAACCATCCAATAAATCCCTACGAAATGTCACAACATACCACCCTATCACTTCAGCAAACCCTAAACACAAGGTTGTTTTTTTCCCACTATAGAAATAATAAATAAACGATAAATACTTGACTGTTCTGTGTGTCTTGTGTGAGCAAAATAAAAAAAATAAAATAAAACTGCCGGGCACTAACTCAGAATACAAGTTCTGCCCGACCTCGCGTGAGGCAGAAATTATTGAAATTATTTGCGGAACGAGCGACGGCGGCGGTGGTGAGTGGTTTATAGGGCGGACAGGTTGAGCGAGAGAAAAAAGGGCAGAATGCGCGAGTGGGGGGTTTAATGTGGGGGGTGGGGGCTGGATGAATTCATAGCGGCTGGAATTCTAAAACAAATTATTGGAGCCGGGTTCGGAAGAGAATTTAAACAGGCGTTCAGAATAATATTTTAGATTTGATGTTTGTAGAATCTGATCACGATTTTCAAAATCACGTGTGGTTTCTTTTTTTTTTAAACTGTCTTCTTGAAGAGCACGTATTTGAATGAAAATAACAAACATTTTAAAAAGGATTATATTATGCTGCTTGCGTGCATTCACTTAAACTCAGAATTTGAGAAGATAGTGATTTTTATCACACATAATTTAGTTTTTCAGACCGAAAATGTTATTTATAAGGTTAATTATGCCTAGCAGTGAGATCAAGGTTGTTTATGAGTGGATGTTTAAGATTTCGGGTTGAGTAAGAAAATTACTAAATGTGCACCGATAATTTTATTTTTATTTGTTCATACTTAACTCTAGCAACAACTGCCAGGATATTAGTGGGCCTTTCGAAACAAATCTGATTAAAGAATTTCGACAAATGTGAAACATTTATTAAAAGTGATCTCAATGACTCTTATGTAACCACTAGTCACTGTACATATCTAACATTTTCTTTCCTGACGGTATTGCTCTTTAGTGGTTAGATTTATAGTGAGCATTAAAGCTGGGGTCAGGGCTACGCTAATGTCCAAGGTTAGGATAAAGGTAGCGATAAATACAGCTTCGATACGACTTGTTTTGTTTATTTTCCCTTTTTACACGTTCCATTAAAAGCAACAGAGTTTTTATCTCGCGTCTATGTTGAGACGTGATTTCCTGTCGTCTCCCCCCCCCCCCCCACTCCCCCCCCCCCTAAAAAAAAGAAGAAACCGTTGTAAAAAAGGAAGCGTAAAAAAGAAAGGAGACACGAAACTGCAGCATTTTGTTTTTAAATGTACCTCTCAATCATTACGACAATTAGCATTGTCATCGATGTCTGCGTGTTAAATGGGAGTGATTAACGAAGTGAATTTGTAGCAATGTGTTTTTTTGTTGCGATAACACTGCAATCTATCTTAAATAGGGAATGGCTGAGATCACGAATACACAAACCTGAAGAGAGAAAAACGCTATTCTATTTCTGTAGCTTAATAAAATACATTTAGAGAATGAAATCCTGAATTGAACGGAAAATTGTCTATTGAAGTGATAGTAGTACAGTACAAATGTTTTAATATATGCTGATCAAGAAGTGGAAATGTTTTTACTAGTTTGGCGAAGATCAAGTTTTCTATTTGAGCCTCGAATTGGAGACCAGTGTGGCAAAGACCAAAAATTCTATTTAGGCCTAAAATTGACTGGCGTGGGTGGCAAAGACCAGGTTCTATTTGAGCCTAAAATTGACTTGTAGGGCAAATTCCAAATTCCGATTGAGATGAAAAATTGACGAGTACGGCAAAGGACATGTTCTATCAACATCCATTGGAGCATTTGTTAGAGCCTTAATGTTTTTTCCTTGTCACGTCAGCTTTCATTTTTGTATAGTGGGAACAGTAAAAAAAATGGTGATGTAGCAAATATCTGCTATAGTTAACTTTGTGTTAGAAACGCAAAACACGTTGATATTATAATTATAATATAACAATAATTTCAATAATAATAATAATAACAAAATTTTCTACAACTATCATAGTGAAGTATTTGACAGTTGCTTTTTTAAATCAGACCAATTATTACGTTTATTGTTATTGGCGATTAAAACAGATGGCGGAATTTCAATCTGGGAGATAACTCTGTTTCGGGCTCTGAAGTGGATAAGAGTTATGGTTACTTGGTATTGTAGTGGCCGCACAATCCCATTACTGTGACCAGAGTTACAAATGAGCTATTCTTGAATTGCCCTTTTGACCGTTCAGTCTCGAAATAGAACTTCATCTTTTTTTTCTACACAAGCTATTGCCTAAGTCCGTTTTTAGAACTAGTTTAATTTCGTTCTAGCATAACCTTTTTAGAGTAAAGAAACATTATGATAACTATTTTAAAATAAATTCAATTCAATTTAAATAAGACTATAAAAATGGGAAGGCGTGGTTGAGCGGTAGGGCGCTCGACTGCTAGCTCGATGGTCTCTAGTTCGGATCTCGGTCCCGACTCTAGACTGCAGGATGTTCCTGTGTCCACCCAGCTCAGATGAGCACCCGACTAACGTTAGGCGGCTGGACTTACCGCTGACCACACCATCCCTTCATATGCTGAGGTCAAGATACATATGAACTCCACTTCGTCTGATCTTGAGGTCTATTTAAAAAAAAGGGGGGGGGGAGGCTTTAGCACTATAATAAAAAGCTATTAAATGCACTAAATATAAAAAATAAAAAAATCACTATTAGTTATAAGTAAAATAGTTGGTCGCTCTAGAAATTTTTACAGTCAATCACACTTTGTAAGATTATTTTCTGTAAATTCGAAAACTACTTTTTACCGGAGGAAAAACTGATGATTAAAACAACTAAGTGTCTCTTTGATTTAAATTAAGTCTAAGCAGTTTATACAACGCGGCAAAGTATAACATTGATGTAAAGCAAGTCTAAGCAATTTCTACAAGGCGGCAAAGTCTAACATTGATATGAAGCAAGTCTAAGCAATTTATACAACGCGGAAAAGTATCACACTGATATAAAGCAAGCCTAAGCAATTTATACAAGGCGGAAGAGTATCACACTACTAAGCTAGTTTCTGCAAAAAAGGCAAAGTATCACACTGATACAAAGCATGTCTATGCAATTTCTACAAAGGCGAGAGAACATTAGACGTAAAGATGGATTGCGTAACTTCGAGTCCTTGAGAGAAATAGACTCCGAATAAAGGTAACCTCATTTCCAACAGAAATCCCCGGTATCTACCGCGGTTTAATAGATCCGGAAAGAGTTGAATTAAGACACCCCGGAGTGTAGAGTTACCGCCCACGTCTTTACTTCGATAATCCTTAAACTCAGAGCCAGCAAGGCTACAAATCTCTACTGGCAACTGACCTTTACGTCTAGAGAATCGCATTGTAGTTGGGTACTTTTTACACAGTCAAAGTTATTTATAAATAAGGTATTGATGATGACAAAGACAATGCAGGTATGTTGTTTTTAAAAATAGGATATTGAGAAGGACACTAACAGGGCTAGGTTCTCTATAATAAGGTACCGCATTAAGATTAATCACAATCCGGGCAAATATTTGTGGTGTTGAGATTAAGGATATTAATACTGGGTATGTTCTTTGTAGTAAGGTTTTGGGATTAATCACTTCATAGGGCAGGTTCTTTAAGGTTTTGGGATTAAACACATCATAGGGTAGGTTCTTTATATGTTAAGGTATTAAGATTAATCACATCAATACTGAGTAGGTTCTTTAAGGTAGTGAGATTAATCACATTACAGGATAGGCTCTTTAAAATAAAATATTGAGATTAATCACATAAGTACTGGGTATATTCTGAACAGTAGGTCGAATAGCACACGACTGCACACATGAATGTCTAGTAAGCCCCACTCAACTCTGATTAGCACCCAGTAAAACATAGTAAGAAAATAATGATGGTAGCATTATGCCTTAGAAAAACGTCATTTTAATAATAAAACACGTTTGTTGCTATAGAAAAGCTAAAGGTAGTATTAAAAATATTACATGAAAACCGGTTAAAATGAGTATAATTACGTAAAAGCACGCAGCTTTGTAATGCTCCCAGCTACAAAGCAAAAGAAAACTTTCTAAAGATATTTGTCCTACAATGGAAACGTTTACAATGAAGCGGTGAATGCAGATTGCGTTGTACAGGGAAGGCTAAAACCGGCTGAATTAATAATGGGGAATGGCCCAGCTTATCAAATTTTGATGCAGTCTCGGTTTAACTTTAAACTTTTTTGGTCTACACAAGAGGTTTGTCGCTTTCTTTAAAGTCAAAGACCGCTGAATCAGACATCCCGACATTCTGTTTTAGCAACCCTTACGAACATTAAATATTCATTAAAAAATGTGTTTGACTGTATACAGGCCTGTATGCTGTTCTTCAAGAGAACTTTTTCGTTACGTTTCAAGGCCTACTTAGGCCTACTTAAGAGTTAAAAAAAAAACATTGATCAACATAGCAACGTTGTGTTTATAAAATGTAATATGTCATACATGCTTGGCTTTATTTGCCAAGGGATAAAAGGTTTGGATAAAAATGAAAAATGTGAATTCACTGTACAGTTTTACATGTTCTTCAGTTTTAACAGAGGCCTATTTCAAATTAGTTAAGTAAATATTCGGTGTTGGTGTACATTGTGTATTTACATTTGGGATTAAGCTATGTCAAGTAGTATACATAACACTCAGTTTATCAAGGGCGTAGTTTGCAGTATGCAGGTAGGATAAGAATATGATGTTTATCAAGATCTCATTGTCTAGGTAGTAGTCTAACGAAATTTGTAGGCCTAGTGGTCTGAAAAACTGAATCCAGCTGCACTAAACCAGCTTCAAATCACCAAATGATGATAATTTTTACACAGAATATGTCAACATGCCAATTCGTCGATGATTAAGAAGCTAAAATCTATCTTAAAGAAAGTAATTACAGCGGGAGGCAGTGGAAAGGAAGACGATCAAAACACTTATAAATATAATGGCGCCCTATCAGTCAACCAAGACTACTGGACAGAGAATGTATAGCTCAATTTAGAAGTACGAAGTTTCAGCACATTTCTTTTTAAAAGATGTATAGATCTATAAGCTATATATGGGACAAAATTAGTAGCCGCTTCAACTGAGCTCCTCGAACATTTCTAGAGAATGCTTTACAAGTCTGATAAGCATACAATATAAATACAGACATGTCGTTGAAACAAAGATTCCCCCCACTCTCTCTCCTCTTATTTCTCTCG